CCAGGGAGACTTGGCAGGACAAGGCCTATGCAAACACTTGGTTTTAAGGATTGTATGTCTGATATAGGTTCTTCATAAGGTTTTTTTGAGACTTGGCATTCTAATCTGAGACTGGGCTTTAGTTTGGTGTTCAAGTGGACTAAAGGCACACAAAAGCTGGAAGGGGAAACAAGCCAGGTTTGGTCTCTAGCTTATACTGAGCTAGAAATGTGACGCTTCACCACGGCTACCCCACGTGCTATTACCTGGGCTAATGGAAGCTGTCACTTGTTGTTGATTACTGCCTGTCTGCCTGCCAAAATGTGTATCACACGCTAAGGGGACAATTGATTCTTCAGATCATATGAAATGCCTGAGCAAATAAAAATTGAACAAACAGTCTATCACTGTCTGTAGTTAGGATGATAAGCCTCAGAAACTCATACGTGTGCATATGCTAGCTATCAGGTAGAGGTGTGAGAGAGTGTGTGTGTCTGTTTAGGAGAAGCAGAGAACGTTGAGCTTCACCTGATTTGCTACCAACAGAACTCCCTGCTGTCTCTGCTCCTCCTTCTTGTCTGGCAAAATGCTTCAGGAGATCTTTCCAATGCAAAATGCAGTTTGAATTATATCGAAGTGTTGCATCAGTTTCTCTCTGATTTTCGGATATCAGAACCAACCCAAGTATGGAATCAAGATTAACAAATCTGATAAAGCAAATGTCAGTTTTGCTTAACATTCAGTGTGAACGTGGAAGTGAGTCGCGTTAAAATATTCTTTTTGTCAGCATGCGTTTGTGCTGCTCCCACCTGTATCCACATCCTGGTTCCAGTCTTCATTTCCCACTTTTATTCAGACTTCCATCCTGCATCTCTTTCCACATCTTCTATTTATTGCTCTGAACCATTTCCCTCTGCCTCTTCAGTTTCTACTCTCAGTCACCTTGACCTCTTCTGCCTCTCTTCCTTTCAGTGTGAACTTGCTGACTCTCCTACCAGTGACCACTTTCCTCAATCCTCTGCCCTCTATTCATGCTTTTTAAGGCTCCTATTTCTTTTATCGCATTGTCCTGCTTCCCTTCTCCAACTCATAAGAGACGCTGCATTGCTAGAAATGCCTGATATTAATTGAATTATTGTGGCTCCTGGGAAGGTTTTCAATCAAAAGCTATTCTGCAGTTCACTCTTTTAATAACATTTTGTGCATATTTTCTTTGCTTTTTTTCTCGCTCGCTCTGGTGCTGCCTGCTGTTTTGCTTTTTTCCCTTCTCTTCCTTGTGGCTCAAGAACTCTGCATAACCAATGACAAAAGACTGCAATTTCAGCCAAGGCTGTATAGATAGCAGGCAAACTAAACTATGGGATTATGCCTTACTTGAAACTCATGCTGAAGGCGATTGCTACTAGCAGGAAATTATTAGTTGCCAAAAGGGGAGGAGCAATGTATATCTTGCCCATTAGCAGGTTCAAGCAAAGTGATTGGGTGGAAGTTAATAAGAAGAGAAAGCACCAAACTTATTAGATTGCAGCCCTCTTAAAGAAAGCATATAATTGGCCATTTCTTCAGATCTTGCCTGAAAGCCAAGAATGAATGTGAAGTGCTAACACACCTTGATTTCCACTAAGAGAGGCCATAAATGGAGCCAGAATCAAATTTGGGCAAGGACAATATCCCTTAATTTGATTTGTCCTTTTTACCTTGAGAGAGGCATCCAAGAAGAGTCCGACACATGAGAGCCAGAATTCAGGTCAATAAGATACTCTTTTCAGATCAGCATCAAGTCAAACACACCTTGCAGACTGCTTGCATTACAATGGGCACCTGGGACACAAGGGTAGCTGCTCAGAGTCATTCTGTCGGGCTCCGGAGAGTTGGATGAGCAAAGCATATGTTTGGAACTGAAGGACATTACTGTAATGTGGTCAGAGAAGGCTGGTGTTGAAGAGAGCACAAGAATGGTGTTGCATCGGACTGAAGCAAAGGACAGATAACCCAAAACTAAGCATTGACTAACAGTTCATTGGCATGACGTTTGAGGGTTTGGTAATATAGTGTAAATGACTGGACAAAGGATAGCTGCATGCTTCCCAGCCAGATATAATTACAAATTTGTTCTGCCTGACTAAACCACTGTATTGGGCCTTTGTTTGATATAGGCCACTCAAACTGCTATGTCTTTGGGTGTGCCCCCGCCAAACTGGTGAAACGGTTAGAATGGCTTTGACCGGCTTATGTAAAATACAACTCTTGTCCAGAAGAATTTGCAATTTCTGTGCAGGTATGGAAACTGGCTGGAGCAGAGGCGCTGGAGTTGCACCCAACATTTTTTTGGGGGGTGGGCTGTTACACATTTGTGACATCACAGATATGCCACTGCTGCCTTTCAACCTAGACAGGCCGACTCAATGTTACTCAGAAGTGAGTCCTTCTGACTTCAATGGGAAATACACCCAGGTAAATGTAATTATAGCCTACTGGGATGCAGGTGGTGCTGTGATCTAAACCACTGAGCTTCTTGGGCTTGCCGATCGGAGGGTCGACAGTTCGAATCCACATGACGGGGTGAGCTCCTGTTGCTGTCCCCCAGCTTCTGCCAACATAGCAGTTCGAAAGCATACCAGTGCAAGTAGATAAATAGGTACTGCTGTGGCAGGAAGATAAACGGTGTTTCCATGTGCTCTGGCACTTGTCACAGTCCTCCGTGCACTAGTAGCGGTTTAGTCATGCTAGCCACATGACCCAGAAAACTGTCTGTGAACAAACGCTGGTCCCCTTGGCCTGAAAAGCGAGATGAGCATAGCACCCCTTAGTTACCTTCGACTGGACTAACCATCCAGGGCTCCTTTATTGTACTTTTATCTTTTAATTATAGCCTCAATTTTGCTTTAACTCAGAAAGATGGTGGCAACCAACTTAGCTAACACATGTAAGAGAAGTAGCCGTGTTGGTCTGCCATAGTCAAAACAAAAAAATTCCTTCCAGTAGCACCTTAAAGACCAACTAAGTTAGTTCTTTTTTTTTCCATTTAATTTTTATTGCTTACTTCAAAAAGAAAAGTAGCCAAAAAACATATATACACACACATAAACACATAAAAATAAGACTACACAATCATACACCTATAGAGAAAGAAAAAATAAAAATAGGAAATATATATACAGAAACTTAATTTTCACATTTACTCCTTGTTGGATTATCGCTTTCAGGACTTCCTTTAGCTTTCCCGACAATCATTCGAAGTGATACTTTAAGTTACACATTTCCTAGTATATATTGTCATTATGCTTTTTTATATATATTTCTTAATATATACTGTTCTTATACCTTATTTGTACTCCCATTAAGTTCAAACAATAACCCATACTCGATTACAGTGCATCTCTAAATCCCTTTAGCGTTATTTCCTTTGACTGATAAGTTCCAGATAATCTACATATTTACCCCAGTCCTTGGTAAATTTTTGGGCTCCTATATATCTTACTTTGCCTGTAAGTCTGTCCATTTCCATATAATCTAGTAGTTTAAATCTCCACTCCTCTACCGTTGGTGTTTCCTGTCTTTTCCACATCTGGGCCAGCATTACTCTTGCTGCTGTAACTGCATAGTACACTAATTTACAATCTTCTTTTTTTATCTCATGGCCTAACATGCCTAATAAGAAGAGTTCTGCCTTCTTTGAGAACGTGTATTTTAAGATCTTCTCTTCTCACTTGGAGTTAGGAAGCACAGGAAGTGCCTTATACAAAGTCAGAACAGTGATCTATCAAACTCAGTACAGTCTATACCAGGAATGGGGACTGTGGTCCTCCAGATGTTGTTGGGGTTATTTCTATCATTCATATACAATGCCCATAGTTCCTTGGACATTGGATAGGCATAGATCAGGCATAGGCAAACTCGGCCCTCCTGATGTTTGGGACTACAATTCCATCATCTTGAACATGGCCCTGTTAGCTAGGGATGATGAATTGTAGTCCCAAAATCTGGAGGGCCGGAGTTTGCCTATGCCTGTGCTAGATGATGGGAATCAGAGTCCTACAACATTGGAGGGCCACTGGTTTCCCAACCCTGGTCTTACTCTCCACAGGCAGGATTATTTCCTTGCCCCTATCTGGCCAATCCAGAGATTGGAAATTTGGGACCTTGTGCAGGCTAACTCCACTGAGCTACAAGCCTTTCCCTTAATGTGTTATATTCAATTCCTGGTACATTTAGTACCACGGTAGCTCACTAAGCCCACGCCATGTTGTTCACTAGAAGAAGAAGAAGAAGAAGAGTTTGGATTTGGATATCCCGCCTTTTCACTTCCCTTTTAAGGAGTCTCAAAGCGGACTAACATTCTCCTTTCCCTTCTCCCCCACAACAAACACTCTGTGAGGTGAGTGGGGCTGAGAGACTTCAAGGAAGTGTGACTGGCCCAAGGTCACCCAGCAGCTGCAAGTGGAGGAGCGGAGACGCGAACCCGGTTCCCCAGATTAGCAGACTACCGCTCTTAACCACTACACCACACTAGAGATGCCAAGGACTGAACCTGGAACCTTATGCATGAAAATATTCATTTTAGCACTGCATTATTACGCAGGCTGAGACAAGTTGGTTAGAATGCTTCACCAGCAACAACAGTATTCAGCTTAAATATTAAACCATGGCCAGTCAGAGACTTAAGGTTTCTACATGATGCACCTCAATTTCCTCCAGGGATGCATTTGTAAAGAAAGCATAGGCAGTTTCTTCAAGTGTGGAAGTAAATGCTTCACGTGTTGAAATAACTGGAATCATTTAGCCGTTATCAGTGGAATGCAATATGTCAATTCAAGCTTTTCCCATACAAGAGAGGCCACAGGGGCAGTTGTGGTTCATCTCACTGAGAAGACATTGACTTTCTGAACCAGCCCATAAACTGAACACCTCCGTATGGAAAGGGTGTAAAATGACTTGGAATGACTTACTCTTTCTTGCCATCTTTTAATAGTTGCCGAGCAAAAGCCCTCTCCCGCTCCAGCTGCAGCGATATCCTTTTCTGATATTGCTTTAGTTTGTCCCGTTGCTGTTTCAGTTGCTACAGGAGAAAATAAATTGGCCATTAGAAGGTGCACCAACAAGCCTTGCTAGGATGACCACTGGAAAAGAGAAACCAAAATCTCCCTTTAAGGCAGACCTGCTTATAAGCCCAGCAGCCTGATCCCTCAAACCTACTTTGTTATTCCCATTTTTGGCTTGCTGCAAAAACAGCAGAAGAAGCTGAAAGTTCCACCTTGCAAAGTTAAACACCAACTCATTGCCTTTGGCTCTCGGGTACGACACATCGTACCTCATGGGAGAGGTGGGAGAGAGACAATAAAAGTTTGAGAGTGTTTTACCATGTGTTTCCTCCTTCAAGTTGGTCAAATTGCTTTTGCTCTCAGGCCGCAGCACAATAAAAGTAGCATCATCTATCTGATGATATTCCAGGCTTACAAAACAGTATGTGGAATTCAGATTTGGGGCACAATGTTCAGCTAGTGGAGAATGGGGATGTTGTATTCCCAGGGCAAAAGCTAGTGGAGGGGGGATGTTCAGATAGATGTGAAACCTTTGGCACTCCAGATGTTGCTGGACTCCAGCTCTCATCATCCTTGATGATTGGCCATGCTAATAACTAAAAGGCCATGGGTTTCTCACCACTGAGCTGCAGACTGGGCATTTATACCTTTTGTTAGTATGCAAACTAGGGACGCGGGTGGTGCTGAGGGTTAAACCACAGAGCCTAGGGCTTGCCGATCAGAACGTTGGCGGTTCAAATCCCCGCGACGGGGTGAGCTCCCGTTGTTCGGTCCCTGCTCCTGCCAACCTAGCAGTTCGAAAGCACGTAAAAGTGCAAGTAGATAAATAGGTACCGCTCCGGCGGGAAGGTAAACGGTGTTTCCGTGTGCTGCTCTGGTTCGCCAGAAGCAGCTTAGGCATGCTGGCCACATTACCTGGAAGCTGTACACCGGCTCCCTCGGCCAATAAAGCGAGATGAGCGCCGCAACCCCAGAGTCGGTCACGACTGGACCTAATGGTCAGGGGTCCCTTTACCTTTACCTTTTTAGTATGCAAACTAAATGAGACTATTAAGAACTAAATAAAAAAGTTGGGAAGCAGCTGGTTTAAAGTAAGAACTGTATTAAGGCAAAGACCCTCCCTTCAGTAGTTAAGGGAGAGACACATTGCAATACTTTACTGAGTACAGTTCCAATTCTGATGGCTACATCTAGCTTTTGACACCTCTACATTATTAGGGGCACCCTAAATATTAGAATGGATACTGCAGAGTAACCCTGAGACTTTGAACTTAAATTCAGTGCTGAATGCAAATCTTCAAAAACGTGACAAGTGAGTAGCCACAATGTTCTGTTTCTCGGCTAATGTTGTTCAATGTCTTTATAAATGTCTTGGTTGAAGGAATTGAGGGGGTGCTTATCAAATATGCAGATGACACCAAACTAGGAAGGGTAGCTAATACTGCAGAAGACGGAATCGGGGTTCTGACCTTAACAGATTGGAGAACTGGACCAAAAGTGAATTTCAGTAGGGACAAATGTAAGGTTCTGCACTTAGTCAGGAAGAACCATCTGCACAGAAGCTGGGTGGCCATTTGTTAGGTATGATCTAGTTGAGATTCCTGCACTGCAGGAGGTTGGTCTAGCTGACCCCACCACCCGGGCTCCCTTCCAACTCTACAGTTTTATGATTCTATGAATAGGGGACCCTGAGTGGAGCCGATCACCGCTGAAAGTGAGGCTGGCAATGGATGCCGAGATAGGAAGCATTTTCAAATGTGCTTGGAGAAAAATGCAGAAAACATGGGTCTTTGCCGCGCCGGCGACGCGGGGACCCTTAAAACCGCAGGCGCTGAAGCCTGCGGACTGAAGACTCGGCGGGTGCCTTAAGCGCCCCCCCTGATTCGCAAAGAGCCTTTTTAAAGGCTGCGGAGGGGATACGGGGGTGGCGTGGCACTGAGAGTCGATCGCTACCTCGGTGGAGCGAAGCCGCGAGCCATGACCGGAGAGCGTTGACTTCCTTCCTTGAAAATTTGGACTGAAAGAATCACCCGTGAGTAAGACGGATTGGGACTTTTGAAAAAACTTTACCTTTAATTGGAGACGACCGGGGGGTGTGCTAAAAGGAAGTCCGCACCCCCCCCTTTGCAGACCATCTAAGCAACGACACAAGAGATAAGCTGGAGAGCCTACCCTTGGTGGGGTGAGTTAAAAAGGACACTAACTTTCAAGATTTTACTAAAGGAAAATTTTGTGCAGGAGAGTGGAGTTTTGGAAACCTTCCTTCTGTTTTAAACAACCCCCCCGCCCGGGCTCGGGAACGTCCTGCCTTCGTGCCTGCGTTAGAGCTGCGGAGTTTGACAGCTGTCAAAGCTGCCAAACGGGCGGTTTAAAGTGAGAAATTGCCATTTAAGATTTTTATGGACTAAGACGAGTTATAATTGAGCTGAAACTGTTGGAAACAAAGTAATAATAATCAGTTTAAGGATTGTTGGTGAAAAGGCAAATAAGTAACCAGATTCCCCCTAGGGGGAATTCTGTGAAACTACAATGGATACAATGGCTGTGGAAGGAAAGTTACTAGTGGAAATCGAAAGGATGTTTCAATTGGTGGGAATCTTACAGGAGCAGAGTTTGGCCATGAACAAACAACTTGAGACTATGACCTTGGGAACAGGCAACTCTGCTCTTTGTATTGAGGACCTCAATGAGAAAGAATCCACAGCTGATTGGGAAACAATATCTACAGAGCTGGAAGAGACTAAACAACAAGAAAAAGAAGAAGTAATCCTGGGAAGTAACAACCAAAAGTTGACATCTGTGGAATACAAGCAAGGAGACGCTGGGAACATATTCACCACAAGTCTGCGAGAGATACAGAAGAAGAAGGAGGAGGCCCCAAGACAAAATGGAGTACAGGAATTTAAAATAAAGAAATATGATTGGGGCCTCCGTTTGGACTTAGACTTGGAAGAGATAGACTTTGTGGAAATACTTCAGCAGCCACCTTTGAATCTTCTTGTTGGAAGAGGACATATTTTGATGGTGAAAGAACTTTTCCCAGATCTGACGACTGCTGTAAAGGACTACCAACAGGACAGGCGGAGAGGAACGGAAATAGATTTGAAAGCCTCGGACGTGAGGAACCCAGGCTGAGAACTTCGAATTTGGATTTTTATTGGGAAGGGACAAAACCGGGGATGGGAGGGAGGGAAGAAGAGACTCTTAAAAACTCTTAAGACTTTTAGGTTTGGTTAAGATGACTCTTAATTAAGATAAAATGAAAATCGATGGAAGAGAACTTAAGTCCAACTTATGAAAACTAATTTTTATTATAAAAAAAAGGAAATAAGATGAACAAGATTGTTAAGAGGAGAAATATCAACTTGCTGACATAATCTTGAAACAGGGATGCATTAGGGGGGGTGGGGGGAAGTCAGGGAACAAGGTTATGAAATGGGGATTTGCTGACTTTATATATGTTTTTGTCTTTGTTTTTTCTTTGTGTATGTTTTGTCTTTATAAAAGCAGAAAACCAAATAAAAATTTTATTAAAATAAAAAAGAAAATGCAGAAAACAAAGCCACAGATGGAATACACCAGATGCAGTGGCGAAATAAAGTGGTGTGATGACAAAGCAGCCAGTCCCTAGTATCTCCAGATAAGGGCTGTCTGAAATCCTGGAGAGCTGCCACAAGTCTATATACACCAGGGATGGGGAACCTGTGGCTTTCCAGATGTTGCTGGGACTTCATTAGCATGTTGAATGGTCCAAGATTATGGGAGCTGGAACCCAACATCTGGTGTGCCACAGGTTCCCCATCTCTGGTGCAGTTCAAGGAGTTGGAATGTGACAGGCTGCACACAGGCTCTTTTGTGTTGAAAACCCTGGTCTTTCTGACACTCAGAAAACTCTTCCACACTATAGACATGGTATTCAATCATTTGCAGATACCATGGGAGCACAATCCTAAACATGCTCGTTCATAAGTCGCTAACAGTTCAAAGGGACTTGAGAATGCAACCCTACTCCTTTCTCCATGTTGATGAATGGAGGTTGGTGAGCAGGATGGCACACAAAATCCTCTCCATCAGCAGGAGAAAGCACTGTGGGGGTGGGTGTCTCTAATGTAGTGGAGGCCTCAGCTTTCTCCATACTCCTGGAGATTGTTCTGCCACTAGCAAAGGGTTCTGAAAACTTTTCAGTAACTGTGTTTAGGATGCAGCTTGCACAACTGCTCTCCTATTTCACAAACTATGGCCAAGGACAGGGAACACATTTGTGGCTAAGATACTGACCTAGATATTCCAGCTCTATATAAATGATCATCCAGTGGTAACAGGGCATCTAAAGACTTCACCAGACAGAGCTCCCATCATTCCCAAAGCACTGTGACTTTATCCCCTCAGTCTGGGGGCATCTTATTTCAACCTCGAAACTTCTCATTCTACGTAGTGTGCTGCTATTTTATATTAGCCTTCTAAACGAACCCCCCCCCCCCAAATGACGAGTCTGCATTTCTATCCTGGCTGCGAAGAAGGGAGAAGCATAGTGCTGATAATGACATGGTTGCAGGTTTGATCCGTGTATACGACAGCTGCATATTCTTGCATTGCAGGGGGGTTGGACTAGATGATCCACAGGGTCGCTTCCAACTCTGATTCTATGATACTCCTCCGCAGACAGTAAGGAAATGCAGGCAAATAACCTCTTCGGTAGTGGTTTTTATAACAGACTGGTGGAAGAGAGGCAGCACAACCGGAGACAGCACAACCTGTCCCTCTCCCAGCAGCTTGGTCATAGGCAAATAGGCTTTCCTTCCTCCACAGCTTGCCCAGGAACTAGGCAGGCTGGCAGGTGGAGCATTGTGGCCCCTTCTCCAACAGCCTGACCCCACGAACCCGCCTGCATGCAATTCCTGGTCACCTATGGCTGTTACTAGGCAAGCTGCTAAATTCAAGGCTGATTTTTTTCTATAGTGCTTTGCTGCTCTTAAGTACCCGCCTGGGAGTATTTCCACCTGACTGCCAAAGTAATCCGGAACACGACAGCCAGCACCACGACTTCCGTTCGTCTTTCTTTTTCTTTTTAGAGAGAGAAACAGAAAGTGTTGCCAGTCCGAAAAGAAGCCAAAGTTCCTTTAACTTTCAACAGCTGTGTTAAGAAAGAGGTCTTTGGCATTCCCACCCCATTTAGGAGAAACAGCACCTGCCAAAAATCACTTTTCTCTCCCCCCCCCAAACAAACTGCCGAAAAATAAATAAATACAGGGGAATTGGGCATGTCACATACGGCGGAAACATGGGTCTACGTGGGATAAATGCGGGTCCGGGCTCTGTCAAGGCACAGGGGCTCCTTTGCAGCACACGTTTGCTGGCTACCTTGCAGCCTTTTGCACTCAAGTCACAGGAACCTGCTCCTGCTCCTGCAGCCGCCGCCTTCCCTGCCTCCCAGCCCCTTCTTTGCTCTCACCAGCACGGCCTTATCTTGCTCGGTGACCCGGCTCCGCCGCTTGCGCCCGAACAGATTCCCCATCGCCCCGGCCCCGCCCGCGCGGCCCTGGCCTACATTGGCCCCACCCCGGCCCCCTCGGCTTCCGTACGGCGGCCGCGGAGGCTCCCGCTTTGCCGGATCGCGAACGCGGAAAGGAGGCGAGGAGCAAAAGTGACGGCTTTGGCTTATAGAGCTAAGGAAAAAGCAGAGGAGCCCGCCGCCGCCGAGTTTCCTTTGTAGGGAGCTTCCGGGTGGTCATACAGACTAGCTCGCGGAACGCGCCTGGCACTTTTTTTTTTTGTACAGTATAAGTCTGCATGTCCACGGCTTCCCCCGAGAGAATCCTGGGGAGCTGTAGTTTAACGGTGCTGGGAATTATAGCCTACCCAGATGCTTGAGGAAATTTTAATCTGAAAAAATGTTTAGGGTACTCTTATTTTCCTACTCATATTGAAATACTGCCCCTCAATGAGGCCAGACTTAGATTCACAATAAACTGGCATGTGGTGCAATTTGGCCCAGCTGCTGTTGTGACATAAACTTCACCTTACCACAGCCTCTCCTTCCTTTTAAAAAGGCTGGGGCTGAACTTGAAGTGGGCATGTACAATGCAGTTGTTCTCATCAGCTGAGGAGTAAAGCTTTGGTACTCTCCTGCCCCCAGCCTTAGTGTACCCCTGTTTCCCCCAGAAAAAAGCACTGTGTGTGTCACTGTTTTATGTTTTGTAAACCACTTTGAGAGCTTTTTTATTTTAAAAAAATCAAGTGGTGTATAAATTTTATTAAATAAAATAAACTTCTGCATACCACTGAACTCTCGCTCTGGATTTGAAGGGAGCTGACTGACAGGATAATTAAAGGGACTGACATTTACTACAAGAGGAAGGGTGTTTTGTTGCTTGGGGTTTGGGGCAAGGTAAAAAGGTAAAGGACCCCTGGACGGCTAAGTCCAGTCAAAGGCGACTATGAGGTGCGGCGCTCATCTCGCTTTCAGCCTGAGGAAGCCGGCGTTTGTCTGCAGACAGCTTTCCGGGTCATGTGGCCAGCATGACTAAATCGCTGCTGGCACATGGAGAAGGCAGAGCGTATGGAAACGCTGTTTACCTTCCCACCACAGCGCTACCTATTTATCTACTTGCACTGGTGTACTTTTGAACTACTAGGTTGGCAAGAAGCTGGTACAGAGCAACGGGAGCTCACCCCATTGTGAGGATTCAAACCGCCGACCTTCCCGTCAGCAAGGCTTGGTGGTTTAGACCACAGGGTCACCTCTAATCTGAACCATTAAGGCCGAAACATGCTTATTTCATTGTAAACCTTAGGCACCAGGCAAAAACATTCCTCTTTAGCCAGGCCAAATATAATCTATGGCCTGTGAAAGTGGGGGGGAGTGGACTATTATGATGATGATGATGGTGATTAGGCTGTCTGTCATTATGTTTTTATTATGTTTATATCACTGATGTTCTGTATTTATGTGTTTTTAATGTTGTACACTGCCGTTGGATCTTCTGATAAAGGGTGGTAAATAAATTGAATTAATAATAATAATAGTAATAATAATAATAAACTCAGTGATACTTACTTCTGAGCAAACATGCACAGCATCAGAGGACGCAAAGATGCCACAAGTCTTGCAAGCGGCAGCTCATCTTCTCCCTCTCAGTTTGGGGGGCAGTGGACCAAAGTGGCACAGACATTGTCAGAAACATGTTTTGTTTCTGAGTGGAGAGACTCACACTCGGGCACAGAAACATTAAAATGCTGTGGTCTCTACATGGACCTCTGTAAGCATCTATTACTTCCAACCTGGAGAAAGTGATGGAGAAGAACTCCCATTATAGATACAGATTTAGATATATAGATATAGAGTGAGAGAACTTGAGCCCCTGTCCTGTCAGTATCAACTAAATCCACGAGCTAGCCAACTAACAACATCGGGAGGGGAAAGAGGTAGTGCTTATCTCTAAACAGATAGAAAAAGGGACCAATAGGAGAGAGGAGAGTTTTGTCTCGAGGCTTTCGGTGAGCAGCTGGTGATTCCCACGCCTCCCACACGCCCGTGTTCCCGCGCCATCTTCTGTTGGCTTCTCAGAATTTGGTTTATTTTTTGGACGCTCCCTCCGCGCTAAAATAACTCTTTTTTTTAAAAAAAAATGCCTCCTAGTTTCTTCCTCAGTTCCCCCAACCCCAACACCACCCCGGGTTTATTCCTGCCTTCTGTGAGTTTGCAAACAGCAGCGCCTCCGTGAGAGAACCTTTTCAGTCCTTCAGCCAAGGACCAATCGAGAAGGCTTGACGTAGAGACTGGGATTCACTGTGTTATCACCAATCTCTATCGTTGTGAGTGGCCTTTGGCTTCATATAGACTCGTATGGCTTATATTGTATGTACTTGTAGTTCTTGCATTTTATGGACATTTGGCTCCACTCTTTAAAAGAGGGATGTGTGTGTCTGTAAGGGCAGCTGTGGTCAGGGAACACATGCTCTGCATTCAGAAGGTCACTAAGGGCGGATAATCTTCTGGAGACAGAAATAAAGGAGCAAAATTGTAGTCTGTGAAGCTTTGCAGTGGGTTACAGCAGTGCCGGATTTACATATAAGGTAAACAAGCTATAGCTTAGGGCCTCACTCTCTTGGCCCCCACCCCCTGCAAAAAAATTCATTCTTAATATACTTCTTCTTAATTGTATCTCAGTTCAACAATTACTTTGATAAAATACATATTTTTAATGTGCAAATGGCTTTAGATACCTATTAGGTCCATAAATTACCGTATAGCATATATTCAACACAGAAAACAGCAACAATTTGTTGTTGACAAAGGACAGCTGGACATATAAAGGGCCCCATTACCTTCAGTAGCTTAGGGCTTCATCAAACCTAAATCTGGCCCTGGGTTACAGTGTAGTATTCTGCACACTCAGCACATGCTTTTTAATAAATGAAGCCTCCTAGGTCCACCCAACGTTACCTGAACTCTGGAGTCTTATTTTACCAGGCATGGCTAAACCTGCAATTGCCACATGGTTGGTTGCAAACCAATCCCAGAAAGTCAAGGGAGCAGAGCTGCCCCTCAGCTGTATTATTATGTCTAACCTGTCTACATATTTTTAAATTGTGGTAATAATAATAATAATATTTTATTTATACCCCACCCATCTGACTGGATTTCCCCAGCCACTCTGGGCAGCTCCCAACAGAATATTAATAATAAGAAAGCAACATAATAAAACATTAAAAACTTCCCTAAGCAGGGCTGCCCATATAAATGTTGGTTGCACTTCTTCCTTTTCCTAGTGGCAACTTGATCTAAAGCCCAGCCCCTGACAGTTGCTTAGCCCAGAGAGTTTTGCTTATTTCTTTCCTGTCTTTGTGCCTTTAAATGCACATGGTGATATGTAGTGCCTGTGCAATATTGGGCAAATATTATCAGGTTCACAATACTCCCATTTAAATATAGACAAATGTTCTCTTATAGACACTAGGAACTTGAACTTACAAGTGGCCTCTTCATAAATATTAGACGCTTGTGCATTATAATGAAGTATTATATTTTTTAAAAAAATGTTTATAATTTGCTCCAGTTCGTGCAGTTATGCAAAGGACATATACCCTTTCTTCCGTTAGGTGGCAGAATGGATCCATCATCATAACCTTTGAAATACCAACTACTGCAGCTCAGAAGCTGGAGTTTACTGCAGTGCTATTTGTAGCAAAGAATGGATCTGTGGCTCAGATGGACAAGAAATGGCTTATCTGCCAACAGAGATACAAAACCAACAAATTGTAAGTTTGCATAAAGGAATACAATGAAGTATATCAATAACGGAATCCCAGGATGGTGCCTATATCTGTGAATATTTGTTGCATTGGCAGGTGTGAAACAGAAGTTCATTCATATTGATTTAAAGCTTTTTCCACCAGATATCATTAGGAGGTTGAGATAATGATTGAATTCAAGCAGTCAGCATTGGCCTCTGAAGCCATTGGAGACTAAACTTATGGGGGGCTGTGCATATCCCAAAATTCTGCATTAGTGCAGGAAAAACAAACCCAAACATGGATTTTGGTACTGAGTGTGCAGAATTAAACATCCTGGGAATTTCAGTGTTTTTATAACAAGCAAGTTTCTAGTCCTTAGTGGGAGTGATGATAGGATTGTCTGTAAGTGGGCAGGAGCTGCTGAAATCTCCAGGTTAGAGCAGCAGAGCTTCAGTGCCGGGTGCAGTCCTTTTTTTCCCTCCTTGTGAAGCAAAATAAATAGTGCAAAGCACATCAGTATATAGAAATATGCTTAGAATTCAGGATAACGTGGTAGATAATTTTGAGTTTTGGAGATGGCACAGCCCTGAAAATGCCTACCAGCCTTCCATGTTACTTTATGCACAGAGGACCTAGGAAAAAGATCCTTTAAAATTATCAAGGATCCAATATCCCACACAAACTCCAACCCATGAGCTTTAGGAAAAGAGGTAGAGGAAGTATGTGCCTTCCTGTGGCTAGGTGAACTGAGGCTGCAGCCATATTTGCATTTATGTGAAAACTACCAGTTAGCAATGGTGATGCATGGAGATGCTTCCACTGGCAAGAGACTATGAGTGGTTTCTTATACATTTTTATTACGTAGCCCTAATTCTTCTCACTGCTGTAAACAGTAGTACAGTGGTAGCTTGGGTTACAGATGCTTCAGGTTACGTGTTTTCGGGTTGTGCACTGTGCCGAACCCGCACCGAACCCGAACGGGTTACTTCCGGGTTTCGGTGCTCACACATGCGCAGAAGCGCTAAATCGCACTTTGCGCATGTGCAGAAGCGCCGAATCACGACCCACCCGTGCACAGACGCAGCGCTGTGGGTTGCGAACGCTGCAGGTTCACAACCCAAGGTTCAACTGTAATGCAGGTGGTAAAGACCAAAGAACAGCAACTCTTACCTTTTCCCCACCCCATCCCAGTGTCTGCTGTGGCTGCCTTTCTGTGTCGTTAAATAGTGCAAGAAGCAGCTTTGCCATAAAAATGGTGCTCAGAGGATATTATGTACACAGTATATTCTAGAGCAAGCTGAGGTGAAAGATCTCATACATATAAACAACCAATGCGGAG